CTGCCCTTGCAGTAACCGTCTCAAGCGTCCTGCCTAACACTCGAAGCTGATCCTGTGTTTGTTGTCCCAGGGTCCTCACCTGTTCTTGGCTCTGATGGACCATTTGACCCAAAACTTCAAGCATTTGCGCACCCGTCGGAGAACCGGGGTCACTAGCCTGAAAAGGATTAGGTTGTGGAGGTTGTTGCGGCTGGGGTGGTAGATGGGGCCCATATGCGGGATCCATGCCTGCCATTGTTGCCACGCACAAAGCAAGGAAAATTCAAGCACTGATTCAAGTCAACCGCTTGCTCAATCCAAATCAATGGGTTCTGCCGGTGATGATTTCAAAGCCGATGAAAACCTCAAAGTCGAATTTTCTGTTTGTTCAAACAAAGAAAGATCACGATCAAGATTTGGATGCTCCTCTGTGCTCTGCAAAAACTCAACTTGCTTCTCCCAAGGAAACGCTTCTTCGACACAATCCTCTACGCTCAAAAACTCGAAGGCTGTCCTCCAATCAGGATCTTTGAGACACTTTCCACCAAATCGAAAAAGCTCTTCAAGAGTGTGGATTTCCTCCAACCGCTGATCAAGTGCACTTTGCGCAGTAGCCAGGATTGTCTGCCACCCTTGTTCTGAACGGTAGCTGGGCTTCTCCCTCTGGAGGAGTTGTTCTAGGTAAAAGGTGCGGAGGTGCTCCTTTGCCGCTTCCACTGCCGCCAAAGTAGCCGTGTTGACTACTGTTCGAGCAACCCCTGTAGGAGCCAGCAGCGGTCACCCTTGACCAAGACGACGGGCCACAGCACGCGCGCGAGGACTATGCTCCCTTGAGGAGTAAAGAGGCTCCACACTACGGGGCACTAAGGATCTACCGTATCAGCTACAGGTAGTGGCTTGGGTCCTGGCCACGCGGCAGCACTTTCGCCCCAAGACACAAAGGAATTGGACCGGTAGTGCTCCGCTACCATGCACAATTTTGTCACTCGTAAGAGCAAACGCCTGTTGCGGTTTGGAGTCTGTTGTCCACAACTAAGCCAAGCATGAAAATCAACTCATGTGATTCCATGGAAGACTGGTTTCACCATGGACATGAAAATGGGATGTATGTTTGCAATATCAAATAAGAGAGTTCTTTTCAGGGCATTTGGAATACCTTTCAGCAGGGTTCCTATCTTGAGGTTCGGGTCGTAACGAAGTCCAGACAACTTCTCGTATTCATCTACCAACTTCTCGTATGTCAACACGT